ATGCTAACTATACAACCATAATTCTTATACTGTTTATAAGTTTGATGAGAGTTGCTATCATTCCTTGAGTTGCTCATTCCACTGAATTCATCCTTTGTTAAGCTTTTGTTACTACAACAACGTTTTCATCGATACATTTTACAGCCTTCTTCAGCTTAACACTGCATAAGGAAAGAATATTTTACTGCCTATTTAAAACCAGAAAGAAGTTTTTTTTTCTATTTATTCAGTCATTAATAAGGTTTTGCGTAAGGACCATATTTAAAGCATTGGTTTGAATATAAAATTAGAACAATATATACAGATTATGAATTTTCGTAGAAAATATGTGCTTCTCTATGAAATGTTTCGAACAGGCCGGTAAATATAATTAATACTGTTTATTAAAAAAAATATCATTTACTTAAATAAATTGTATCTATTAAAATAACGTATAAACAGAAAATATATTAAATAATTGTCGGACTTAATCCATTTCATAATATATATATATATATATATATATATATATATATATATATATATATATAATTAGTTACTTTTTGTCAACTTCAAAAGAAAAAGAAAAAGGTGGGTCGACTCAGATAGGAACACATGAAGAGGTACCGACGAAACAACAAACACAACATTAACATTTGTAAATAAATTTTATATAATGAAATACAAAATACAAAATATGGGAAAAGTATGGAGTAACAGACGTACAATTAATAAAAGAACACTTAACTGATATTGGATGTCAGTTCAAACATTTGTATTTCAGGAATTTGGAGTTGGAATGATCGTAATGACAGACAAAGTTGCTGTAGAATGTTCACAAATGTTGGTTGTTCTTTCTTCCGCAATATGAAATATAGAATTCAGTAATATGTTTGTGTTCCGTTTCCCCTTGTTTACTTGGATTGCCTCCGAGATGAAAGTAAGATGTTTTCTTTGTAATTTAATCGGGTACAATATCCATTACCTTTTATCTATTTAATAGTCAAATAAATCCAAGATATCTTTGATGAAATTTCCTTATTCCTTACAAAACAAGTAATGGAATAGGCTTGTTGGTGTATTTCTCATTCCTTACGATCGCATGATGAGAATCTATTTTTCTCGCGAACTGTTGTCATGGGAGGTCATCGGGAAACTAAAATTACAATATCAAAATCCCACTTGGTAATATATGTAACGTGAGCGTAGGTTATCTATTCCTACTCACTTTCTTAGGAGGTCATTCTGTTTGTTGCCAAGAAACCCCAATCAATTAAATCTTGAATTTGTTCAGTTATAATCAACTTATCTATCATATAAATGTTATATAAAAATTTAAATTATGCACAAACAAAATATTTTTGTGCAAAATAAAGCTTTTAACTCCCTACAACATGTAGGGATAGAATGTGAAAAGAGAACACGCCTCTTTTTTATCCCAAAAGTTGAATAAGGCGGAAAACAAACAAGACTCGATCTCTACGCGAAATTCAAAAGGAAATACATTTATTACAGTAAATAAAATTAAAAAAAAATACAAAATTTGCAGAAAAATTTATTTTGTGCGCCTTATACAAAAACTAAGTCAGGGTAACACTTTCAGTATACAACATAAAAGAATATACCCTTTGAAAATAAAAAAAGGAAAAAAAATTATGAGGAAGCATTAATTGCACAAGGCAGAAAATACAAAAGTGCACCCACATAAATTCTACAACTGAATAGGAATGTCTCATCAAAAAGAGGTTTTCTGGTTTCAACAAGTTGTTGTCACGGAGACTTTATGTAGTTCTCTACTGAAAAGTTCAATTTGAATGGTTGGTTCCGTTCCAATTCTGTGGAAGACGCCGAAAAGAATGTTCTGTCCTGGGAATTGAATCTAACGTCCAATTGAGATTTAGTTGTCGGCTCTTTCTTTCCCCGTCATGATTTATGACCCTTCGGATGGACTAATCCTCCGGCTTTGAAGTGTGGGCGCTTCAATGTCTTCTTGACGACTAAATGCTTTCTGAAGCTATTCGCTAACGGAGTTCTTTTATTCAAGAAAAGAGGATCACAGAAGGCCCCATCCAAGTTTTCAAAAGGGCTCGTGACCACATCTCTCATTGGCCAGTAAATATGAAAACATTTTTCCATAAATTCACAAAATGAAACCGTAACAATTCACAAAGAAATAATTCGTAGCGGTCAATTTTAAATATTATCATTTGTACTATCCTACTTTTTTAAAATAATGACTTGCATTCATATTTAAGATAGTTATTGCAATATTTTGTTAAAGCTGTTAAACTCAAATATTTAACGAGGCAATAGGAGAATTTCCATGGCTATTTTATAGTCGTGGAACTAGCAAGGAGAATATTGAATCATTTATGTAAGAATTAAGATTTATCAGAAAATTAAAATATGAAAACTCTGAAATTTTCATGAGTATTGCTTGTTCACTAATGGGGAAAAACTACTTGAGGAACACTCCGATAATAGGGACTGTGAGGCATAAGCTTCATTAGTTTTATATCGTATATTACTAAAATTAGGCATTTTCATACAGAAAACATTCAGAATTCTTTGACCGAAGATAAAGAGTTATTCCAAGCTGAAAATTATTAGACTATTTTTTAAAGAAGGTTTTCAAAAAATTAAACTTCTTACCAGTGATGAAGATGATGATGACAATGATGATGTTTACATTCTCATTATGTTTATTTGTTGTTGTTGCACACTTCCTGATCATTACTAAGACTTAGCAGAGGTACCTCCATGAGATCGCTAAAAAAGAGCATAGCATGATGAAAAGACGCCAAACTTGATGAAAACAAAATTTTATCGTCTAAATGCTTATGTTGTTATTAAGAGGAAAGATCAAAGTTTATTTTGATTATTTTAAAAATGTTTTCCTTCTTTTTAGAACATTCTAAATTTTGATTAAAAACATATACAATTTTTAGCACGTTTTTTTTTTGTATGACACACATTAATGTGGGAAATCTTGCAAAAATAAAAATAATTGTTGGATATTAATGAAACTTTCAGAAACTATTCACTGATGATCGAAATTATTATAAATATGTTTTTTTTATTAATGTCATGGCAGAAATATTTTTTTAAATTTATTACCCCCACCATAACTAATTTTATGAAAACGCTAGAAATTCGATGGCATCAGGTTTAGTGATTGCAATAGTTAAAAGCACAAGGCTTTGAGGAATGCAAATCATGTTTTTTTTTTGTTTTTAATTGGACACCCCTACCTGAAAATCAGCTCTGAATTGTAACGTACAAAACTCAATAAAACAAATATATTATTTAATTTCAAATGCTTTTAGTTGTTTTTATGAATATGGACAATATTTTCTGAAAGTAAAAAAAAAAAAATCGATGAAAAATGAATTTTTAATACAATTATTTGTTATTTCTTAATTATAATAGATTTTTACATTTAAGTTGTTAAAATATTATAAAATTAGTTAAAAGCCGCATTTGGTTTCCTAAGTGTCCATATGAGATAGATCTTTTTTAGCGTGTTGTAAATTGTATCATTTTGACTAATCAGAAGATCCGCAGTAATTAAAAAATGTAATTTTGTGCTTATAATCGGGCTGTAATTATAAAGTACGGAAGATCAACCAGAATACAATTAAGTTGCTTTATTTGAGTTAAGCATTGTTTTCCTCTGTTAGGGCCTTTACTTTTGCTAAACACGTGTGGAGAAGTTAATTTGATTTCAACTGAGAAGGGTACCTACAAGTATCAGTATCATCTTATGAAATTTATATGATCTTCTTTTTATATTAATCTCATTTATGACATTTTTCCATAAATGAAATATCAAAATTAATAATAAAGTGAATGCAAATACAAATAACACAGTAAAATGTAATAAATTTACATAAAATTATAGTATTTTATATACACTTTTGATAAAATTTCATAAGAAAGGTACTTATAAATTAATTAGATACCTTTCTTATGAAATTTAATCTCACTCTTAACAGTCTTATTTTTATTTCTTTACAATATATTTTCCATAAAGCATCATAAACGTAAAGGTGAAAGCTAAGTACAAAAAAAAATATTAGAGCGCTGAAAGTTTTCCTTAAAAATAACGAGGTAAATAATTTGTTCACTTAAATGTAAATTATTTCACTTTTCTCCTTCCGTAGAACAAATTATCCTCACGGAATCCGTCAATATGTCATTCATCACCTGTCAAGTGACGCGAAAGTTTATGACCTGCTTTATTTTATTTTCAAATTACATCTTTTCGGCACAGAAGCTAAGTTAAGCTTGGTTCAAAATATTTTAAATAAACATTATAATTTCTGATTTTCTTAAAATAAGTTTTGAAAAAATGATAATTGTTATTTAAAAGAATTTCAAATTGAGATTTTCATTTTTTTTTATAAAATGGAAAAAAATAGTTGAAATCTGTCAATTTTGCTGACTCAAAAAAATCAAGATTTTTAACGAAAATTTCGGACGTGCTCAGAACGATTAAAAAATGTAAAAAAAATACCCCCCAAATACTTTGATCTTTCCTCTTAATAATAGCATAAGCATTTTGTCGATAAAACTTTGTTTTCGTCAAGTTTGGCGCCTTTTTCATCATGCTATGCTCTTGTTTTAGCGATCTCGTGGAGGTACCTAAAGGCAAAGTACTAAATATATGCATTCTGTTTGTACAAATTCTGATGTTATGAGACTTTACATGTAGAATGCTTATATTTTATTTACATTGTTGATTATTTACTATTTCATTTCGTATTCGAATATTTGCATACATACACTTTAGGTCAACAACATTCAGTCGAGTCATCATTTGCTTGAACGCTAGACATTGTAGCCAAACTTTTATGCATATCTGTCGTTTCAACGCGCATGTGTGTTTCACTACTTAGAATTAGCATAGAGAATAGGATTAACTTTCTGCAAATTTTCTTTGATTTTTGTGACATTATATTTTTACTAATTTATTTTCTATAACCCTACTTATTCCTAATTGAAAACTCCTTTAATTGAAGGCTTATTTGAAAATTTGATCTTCAAAAATGCACTGGTTATGCTTACATCAACTGTTGTTACTCTTGAGTTTTGCTGGAGGATACTTTTGCGAAAATGTTGCTGTCATCGGCCTCATGAATGAACTACGAATGGAACCCGATTGTAAGAAAATTAACCCAACTTCTGTGAAGACGGTGGAAGCTGCTTATTGGCTGGTTGATAATATTAATAAATATTCCGAACATAATGTGACATTTGGTAAGTATTTATTTTGGTAGATGCATATCTGTTAAATGTGAACTCTTGTAGCACATCTGTAAAATACACGCTTTTTAATTACTATGTAATTATAGTATTACTTCGGAAGCATTACGCTTGTGATTTTTAATTTTTCTTTTTATTAAATGATGGTCACTTAGTACAAGAAATGAAGTAGAGGACTACTCAATAAGGAGGAGAAATTATTTCCATAAAGGGAATATTTGACATTCATTGACCAAACAATTAGTGCTACTGTTGGCTGAAATATATAAAATATTTTTTTAAAACATTTCTTTCTATTTTTTTTTTTTAAGGAAAATGAACTTGTCAAGTCCATTAACTGTTATCCATCTTTCTACTATTGATGGGGATTTCCTCCCAAACCTTAGTGAAGAAAATCAACATTTTAGTTATACCATTATTTTCCCTTCTAGTTGCAGGTGTATTCCATTTTAATTGTTGCTGCTCTTGGGTATCTTCAAGTGGCTTTTGATTTTTTCGTAAAGTTATTTTCGATTCTGCAGCGCCAGTCTATTAAGGTCTGATGAAGTATTGTTTCATTTAAGGCTTTGAGGATTCGTTCGATTGAGGTAACTTTTTTAATCATTGATCTGTGAAAACAGTTGTATGCAGCTCATAGTTTATACATAGATTAAACAAATATAACTTCTACTGGTTAAAATCGACAACTTTGCAAAGCCTATAGATGTGTACAGATAGGAGAGAAACACGGAAATTTACAATTAATTAAAACAATTCCTTTCATTCTATGTTAATGTTTTCAGGAAAATTACACCTATGGAAAAAACCAAACATCTAAATTTAATCAGGCGTAGATAATTTGAATTATTGATTCATTGAAAATAAAGCCAAAAATTATTGATAAACATGAAGAGGAAAAATAATAGTATGCGTTCAAAGAAATCACAAAGAAAATAACAGAATTATTTGAAACGTAAATTTACTTTTGTTTTCAGAAAGAATTACATATTTTTTATCAACAATATTTGGTGAAGTTGTATAATAAGCACTCTGACTGGAAACATTAATTTCATTCAATTTCGTTTTTCTTATTACTATAGATTAAGCTTTCCAAACCACGAAAATCAATTTTTAAAAAGTTGATAGGGCGGGCCAGTTTACTATGCAAATTCATTGTAAATTGATCCACCTGTGGAAGCCAAAACAAAATATGCTCATACCACAGGATTTCTTAAATTTTTTTTTTTTTTTTTAATATCGTAATTTACAGTGCTTAATCGATAGTAACACAGTAAAGAAAAAAATCCAAAAGAAAAAACACCGACTCCAGATTATGAATTAAAAAAAAAAATTATTTTTAACTTTTAGAAATCACATGAGATGAGCATGTTTTGTTTTGTCTTGTAGGGTGATTAATTTACAATGAATTTATAAAGAAAATTTAACCTCCTTATTAACTTTTATAAAATTTAATTTTTTGTATATTCGTAATTTGGAGTGCGCAATATGAATTTTTAAAAAATTTCTGTTTGCAGTGCCTATTGTACAACTCAACGCAGTATTTTTTCCTGCTACGATACTACAATAATTCTATGAACATTTACTTGAAGCATAAAAATGATATAGTGTGAAAAAAAATGCCGGGTATCAGCTCAGCGGTGAAAAGATATTTTTACGATTATAACAAAACGTGACTTAATAGTAAGTCTAGAGTTACTATCGATTCCTTATTTGAAAAGTTCCTTTTTCTTTTTTTTTTTAGTCAGATTTTTCTTTATTGTTTTCTTTGTCTCTCAAAATCTAGACGATTTCAGAAAATTCATTCAATATTGTAGCTTCGTTCATAATCGCTGTAGGAGTAGACAATATATAATAACGTTTGGATGAGAATTCGACGGAATGGTAAATATGTAAGATAATATGGAAAACTTTATTTAGACATGTTTTGCCGATCAATCAGTATTATAAAACTGGTTTCAACAAAATCTAAATTTAGCAAGACAAAACCAGATTTGCGTTAATGATATGAATGTTTGTTGAAGTGAAAAATATCAAGTATTTTATTGAAATAAAATCCATTTTCTGACCACGAATCATGTCGAAATGATCTTTCCAAATTGCCTTATATATGTACCACACGCACGCACACACGCGCGCGCGCGCACACACACACACAAGCGCGCATTACATGCATTAAATGTGCCGGGTCTCTGACTACGGTTATTTGTATTGATGGATGTTGTTTCATTGGATGTAAATGACATCTATTTTCCCTAGTCTTTTTATCTGACCAAATTGCCATTAAACAACACATCAACATGCACCACCGGAATTACAATAATATTAGATATCTCATAATGAAAGTAGTGTAGTTTCTAAATCGTCGTAAATTTATACTAAAGAGGATAAAAGCCATTTATATACATCTAAAGCCATAAATAAAAATAACCATAGCCTGAAAAGCAGACACCAAGTTCACCATCTCCTACACCAATGTGAGGGGTCTATGTTTCAACTTTCCAGAGGTGGAACTCCATCTTCATGCCAAACCACACGTCCTATTCATGTCTAAAACTGGTATTGATAACATCCCATTTTAACATATATTTACCAAAATTACACAAAAATATCTTGAAATTGTAAAGAGTAAATGTATTCAATAAAATCGCCATTGGCTTCAACGACGACCTCCAGACGACTTCGGAATTCCCTACATCTCTTTTGGACTGTTTCCTTGTTTAAATTGGTGAATGCTGCCACCATAATCCTTGCCTTCTGTTCATCTTTGGTGTTACAAGGAGTTTTGTTGGTCTTTCGCTCAAATGCGCCCAGCACATAATAACCAAGGGGGTTACAGTCTGGGAGTTATGTGGCCAGATATAAGGGGTGATGTGATCGCAGAAATTGTCTGATAGCTATGACTGGGTTCTCCTACTTGTGTGGCATGATTCAAAGTCCTGTTGCTAGACATAGGGTCTTCCAGCAGCCACCCTCGATCCAGGGCAGGACTACCTCCTCAAGGCACGTGTTGTGGCCCTCATCAAATTCGAGAGTTCTTTCCTTATCAGAACGATCAGAGTGAATTTTCCGAGTAGCTGTACCTTCATAATCACCATTAGACTCATCCAACTCTTTCCGAATCCTCTGCACTGTCCTTAGATTGACACTCTGAAATGTTCGTATTGGAACTTTCGGTGAGAATTCCAAGCAGTACAGCATGCCGTTTCCGAAATCCTGGCGGAGAAAATTATGTCATTGTAATTTTTTTCTCACAGACGGTGCCCTACTATGCTGTGCAGTCGACAAAATAAAAAACAAACAACGCGCATGCGCGAAATGAAAATATAAAAGGGCAACAATTTACCCATCGCAACCTGTAATTTTATTACAATCCGGAAAGTCTCAAGACATTAAATATCTTGACCTTAAGACCACTGGTCCAGACAAAATCCCAGTGGTTGTCCTTAAGAATATTAACCTGGATTTATCCTCGATTTTAGTGAAATTATTTAACCGCTGCTGGAAGGAGAAATCCTTCCAATTCTGTGAAATGTATCAAGGGTATGCCTGGTTTTCAAGAATGCAGATGATCGCCCTGCCCCTCACAGTGTCGTCAGTGTCATCATTAAACCTTTGAATCTATAATCAAAATGAAAGTTGTTGATCACGTCAATAGGAAAATCCTCTTGGGCTACCTGGGTTTATACTGCTCCGGCCCACTGCTGATATCCTAACCACCATTACTCAGAATCAAAGAGTCACTAGACAACAAATTCATCTCAAGGAGGATCACATTTGATGTATCAAATGTTTTGTGTAGCATAAAGGATTACTGCACAAGTTCTTTAGCTATGGAATCATTCGAAGAGACTTCTCAATTATAAAGTCCTTCCTAAAGATAGTTGTTAATGGCCAGTCTTCCGAGGTCGAAGCAATCAACGCAGGCGTCCCACAAGATTCGCTTCGAGGTCCAACCCTCTTTTTACTTTACATAAATGATCTTCCTAAGAGTATACTCTGATCATTTTTGAATATCTATGCTGAAAACACAACGTTATATGGATGCACCTCCAAAACTCTGACCAGAGCTTGGAAGCTGACTGGGGGAAAACTGGTTGTTCATAATCAATGCCTCGAAAACTAGTGATATTTCATCATTGTCGATCGGTCCCAGAACATTCACCAATAACGATGAAATGATGGTCCCTGACAGATGCTCCGTGACCTGAACGCCATTTGGGACTTAAAATCAACCCAGACCTCATATATTCGATCCATCGGTGAAGATCCTGTAAAAATAGTCAGTTGCTTGTATATGACTCCTTCTGCACCCCTCTACCTTTACAAGAGCCAAATCAAACCGAAAATGGAGTACTGCTGCCACATATGGACAGGAGCTACCCATTTCTTCATTTTCCAGTATTGGTAGAGTCCTTGTGGGTGACGAATAATTTTCCACTCTGAAGACCATCTTTCACAGACGAAACGTCGCAAGCCTCTAGCTGTTCTATCAAAATTTCCATGGAAAGTGTTCATAGGAACTACAGTCCTTAGTAAATCGAAGAGCCGAGCTCCAATTCCTGTAATGTTCTTTATATTCACTTACGCGTAAATACCCTTAGGAAAAGTATGAATCCACCTCATCTCCCCCAACTATAGGTTAATTAGTTGGACGTGTATCAGTAAATCATTATTATTTCCAAAATATTATTACAATCTAAAAATATTTTCTGGCCTTAAGTAACCTGCAAAAGGTTGATAAACCGTAAAAAAATCAATCAATCAATCGAGTGGCTCTCGGGCCTTGTACAAGGTGAACATTATTGTAAAAAGCAAAATGCATTGAATGCATATTTTTTCGCAAGCACATCACTAATTTTCCGAAAACTGATAGTAACCTTTTAATTAATATTTGTTTAATTAAAGTTTTTAACAGTTCAAATACCTTAATGATGTGAAGTGCGCATAATTAGTCGATGATAAGTGCAGATTGAATTATTATGAGATTTTTGTTGGTTCGACAGAATAATTAAACTAGTTTTCTGATAGTCGGTGATACATTTAAGTAAACCCCACTTTAGAAACTGCTTTCATATTTTTCCTTTTTTTTACTGGAATTTGTTATCACATCTTTTATTTTCGTCTGTGATTATATCACACGAAGAAGAGAGCATGGTGTTACCTCTGGTTTTCGTTATTGTTGACTATACAAATTTTCAAGCAAAACTAGTTAAATGCAATTTTTATTGTACCAGTATAAAAAATCCACTTTCTTCTATTGACAGAAATTGATATCCGGGATATTTGCGGAAATCTCTCTGCGGTGCCAGCGATGATGGATTTGTTAAACAAGTATAAGAATAGCTCGAAAACATTCATTGGTTAGTAAGTAAAGTGATTTATCGTATTTTTGTGTATAATACGAGAAATTTTGAACGAAAATTAAAGGCAAAAGGGAATCGTATCATACACAAGTACACGTTTTCAGAAATTTTACTAGCTTAAAAAATCTTATTTGAAACAGCAAGATTGTAAATACACTCTGTTGTGCTCACAAGTTTGTTTAAATATAATTTTCCTGTTTTTTTATAAATTTTTCTCTCTTCATTCTTAACGAAAGACACTATTTTTTATTTTTAGAGTTTATTAAAATATAGAAATATAATAAATTCATATCAAACAGAAAATTACGACAGATTAACACGATAAAATATATTACTGGTTATTTTTGGTTAGCACTTTCCCCTAAAATTCAAAATAAGTTTTGAAATGAAAATTAGGAGAAAAATACGCAATGGCTAAACAGCTGGTTCATTTCTCTTCTTTAGTATCGTAAAAAATTAAATATTCTAATGAAATATATGTACGATATTGAGATTTGAATGGATAATATGGTACAATTTTTAAAAAAGAATCTACTAGAATGGCTGTACTACGAGCTATTATACTCAAGGGTGTAATTTATTCCCTGTTTTTAGCTTCAAAAACATGGGGTCGTATTATTCTTGTATTGTACATAAGAAAATGCGGTAAAAAACAAGCTTTGTTTCCTTTGTGTCGTCGACAGGTAAATATTATTTTTAGAAGGAAAAGTGATAAAAAATGCAGCAAAATAAAATCTTGAAAGCAATATAAAAATTATTGTATTAATCTATTGAAATATTGGCGAGATAAAAAAAAAACAGTTTGACAGATAACTATTAACATTTCGCACCTCATCAGTTCAGTGGGGTTATTCAGGTGACAATTCCGTCACCTGAATAACCCCACTGAACTGATGCTCAATGGGGTTTAAAACTCGCGAGTATGGGAATCAATGGAGTTTCTCGGATCAGTCAAGTAATTCTCGAACCTGTTTCTTGGCACCCGTGCGCGATGGGAGCATGTGTTATCTTACCGGAGTAAACTACAACCACTGGGGAACTTGGCAAGTATAAGAGAGTTCAAATTGTCTGCTATAAGATCTTTGTGTTTACCTTTCAAGACAGACTCCAGTTTCATTTGTAGTTTTTTCAAACTTCAACAGAACATACACATTATCATCAGTGTAATAATCAGCTTGTTCATCGCCCTTATATATATATATATATATATATATATATATATATATATATATATAGGTTTAGGTAAATGAGATAACTAGATATTAGGGACCGTATACGCGCGTTCTGGCGTGCATACGCGGGTAAGCAAAAATTACCAAATTTAGCCAAGAGGTGTAGACGTGATGCAGACCCGGCAGCGTGCAGTGCTGGTTTATTAATAAGTGGCCTTGTGCCAGACACCACACTAAACTACCGAGTCTACAAGCAAAGTAAAAAAAAGATAACAATGTGCGTGAATGAACAGTGAGAGGAAAGGGGTCAATCAACAAGTGCATAAAATAAAATATATTAAGAATATAGCCGGCACAGAATGACAGAAAAAGACTGGATTCAAACAAGAGTAATTTTTATTAAATGCAGGAAAAACAAGTAACTTATCCCGTGGTAGGGATCAATGAAAATGTTCCGCGCCAAAAATAGAAACAAGATGGCTATGGCGGGAAAGGTTCTTGAAGGAGAAGAAGGTTCCAGATAAGTCAATGTACATGATAATATACATACAAGGAAAATTATACTCACTGCGAGTTTTTGCTAATGTGAGTGAAATGTTATGTATATATTTTTTTCTTTTCTTTTGTACTGGTTCAAAACAGATTTATGACGAGGCCAAAAGGGACGAAAAGTTAATACTTGGAGTTGCATCGTCTCGTAGGAGAATTTTTGAATGACGAGCCAAAAAGGACGCAGAATTAATTATTTGGTGTTTTTATTGGTTACCTGTTGAATACGAAGTTTCTGCCGACGACTGTGTCGTGTCCCTAACGTCTTCTGGTCGAAAACGGAGAAGGTCTGATCTGCGATTAGCAAGTTGTTCGTCAGTAAGATATCCCTGTCTGTATTTATTGGTTCGCTGACGAGGATAAAAATAAGCCATTATTAGTTGAATACGAAGTTTTGCTCACGACCGTGTCGTGTGTCTCTAACGTCTTCTGGTAGAAAACGGAGAAGGTCTGACCTGCGATTAGCAAGTTGTTCGTCAGTAGGATATCCCTGTCTGTATGTATTGGTTCACTGACGAGGGATAAAAATAAGCCATTAGTTGAATACGAAGTTTTGCTCACGACCGTGTCGTGTGTCTCTAACGTCTTCTGGTAGAAAACGGAGAAGGTCTGACCTGCGATTAGCTTCAAGACGAGAAGAAGTCTTGGTAGCGTGTGAAGTCGCCATTGTTGAAATAAGATATTCCGGCCCGCATATGGGTTAAGGGCACAGAATAAATGAGTTGCCCATCTAGTCGGGTCAAAAGTCGAGAGGCAACTGGTTGCAAACGCTGGCCGTTTTGAAACGCCGAAAAACGCGCGGGAAAAATTCAAAATCTGTTATGAGTCCATCAGTAGGAGCTAGCGAGGTTACTGCTATGTTTAGCTGTGAGTGGAAGGTAGGGGTGAAAACACGCGCACACACACGCACGAGTGTGAAAGGAAGGGAGGAAACTCGCGCGCGCGTAAAATATAAATGGAATTAATGTGTTAATTCCATAGACGTAATAGTGCTTAATGTGATTAGACAGAGGTAAGAAATATATATTAATAAATACACATATACTTATGTTGGTTACCCAACCCGTCGGACACAAGATATAACTTATTGCTAATTTAAAAAAAATATATACAGATGCCCATAGGATGGACGCTGATTCATAGTTCAAAATAAAAATAGCACAAAAATAGTACTAAAGCACTACCGGGATTTAAGTGCAGGAAATAAGGTGTAGGTATGAGTCAATAATAGGAAAAAAGAGAGAGAAAACAAGGGAAATTGAAGTATGCTTAAATTTTAAAATTTGAACGCTGGACGGTGTTCGTAAAAGACGCTTGACTGGTTAAAGGGAGATAATCTGTGAATGATCCAAAATAAAAGTGGGCGGAAAATTAAAATTTTAAATTAAATTTAGACGGAAGGTGGGTTATCCAGGATTACAATATTTTAAGATAAACAATTTTCTTTGCATACAATTAGACATAAGCTCATTTCGTTTATTTAGTAGATTTGGATTATTAATATTTTTAGGATGAATAATTTTTCGTGTAAACATAGATTGCACAGTTCCTCTGCCTGGGAATGGATTGATTTTAGCGACCAATTCCCAATTGACTGCGCACACTCGAGTCGAACACCAAACGTATGTATAAGTGTATTTATTAATATATATATATATATATATATATATATATATATATATATATATATATATACCACTGAGAGCCATAGAGAGTATCACAGCCAAGTGTGTTTTTATCTACCTTGTTTAACGCATGTAGACCCCTTGTTCAGATCTGCGCTATTTTGCATCCGAAACGCTAACAAAGCAATTGCTAAGCAATAAATGTAGGTATTTTTAAACCGAAATATTTATTACTTCAAATGTTATATTTTTAGTGGCTATCCGTATTTAAGTAGACGTCCCGTTTTTCTAACCAGTGTGTATTATGTCTACCGGCCTTGAAATCTGAGAAAATAACGAAAATGTATTCTCAGACAGGTTTCGAGCACATTTTTTCTATTAAGTTTTCTCAAGCGCTCAGATCTGTAAACGTAATATACACTGTTTAGAAAAAAAACATATATGAGTATCCACTAAAAAATGTGCTTGAAGTTTTAAAAATGTCGGATTAAAAATAAATCAATTTATTCTTTAAAATGCATATATATATATATATATATATATATATATATATATATATAACCCCAAACAAGGGAGTAAAATCACTAAAACACAAGGGGTTACAGTGTGGAAGAATTTGTATCAGAAACATTAATAATGAGCAGAAAGGGAAAGAGTAATTAGGAAAGTAGATAGCGATTGACATTGCATTAAAATTTTTAAAAATTACAGTTGGTTAGAAATCATGGAGTCGGAGTTTTATAAGAGAGAAGTGCGAGGAAAGAAACTGTTGACATAGAACTTACGGCTACATCGAGCTAGCTCAACTGTATATTGATGAGATATCGACGCCAGTCTAGTACTGCACTTAAATTCATAAAGTCTAGGTGCCATAATGAAGAGCTCACCCAAACAATTACCATGAAAGCACAGTGAAGCAACCTTGCGGTAGTGGGTAAGTGACTGAAGCCGAGCCGCCAGATCAGGACCAATAATATTGCCGATTCTTCTTTAGAACTTATCAAGGAGCTCAAGGTAAATAGAAGAGGCACATATATCGTGGCAATATTCTAAGCATGGACGAATGGTAGACTTATAGATATGTAAGATAAATTCCGAAGAGAAAAATTATCTCGCTTGACACAGGAAACCAATTTTCGTAGCAGCTGATCTAGCAATGGATTCAATATAGTCTTTCCACTTCATGTCAGCTGAGAAGGTTCGTTCGGGAAGGTGTAACGAATCACTTTCTTGGAGGTTAGCATCAACCTTGCTGATAGCAGAGAGGTGTCTCTCAGATGATTAATGGAGAGAAGTTTAGTCTTGGTGGTGTTAAAAGTAACAAGCCATCTTTTGATACAGTTAACGAATGACTTGAGGCCGTTTTGAACAACAGCTGCCATTTTTGACCTTGTCGGACTGATCAGTATTAATACCCACGTAGGAGTAAATGATTGTTTCTTCAGTGTTGATGCCAAGTTGAGTGCTGGTGTCATCGGGAAGGTCGTTAATGAAAATTAAAAATAGAATAGGACCAAGGATGGATCCCTGATGGACACCCGCGTTAGTACAAAAGGATTTAGACAAGTGATCGTTTAGGATAACTTTCATTTCACGATTTGATAGGAAAGACTGGATCACCGTGACTTTTCAGCCTGTGAAGAAGACCTGTACGCCAGGCCTTGTCAAAGGTTTTCGAGATGTCCAATACTACAGACCGGGCTACACCGGTTTTATCTAGATCATGATAGACTCTTTCCGTAATTATTGTTAGTACATCAGCAGATGACTTCTAGAAACGAAAGTTTTGTTTGTCTTAGAAAAGGCCTTGCGATGAGAGATGATGAATCAATTCAGCATGGATTGGGGCCTCTAGGAGTTTCCCCAAAAGAAGTAGAAGGCTTATAGGCCGATAGTTGGAAGGGTCGGAGGTTCACAAGAGTTATTAAAAATTGGAACAACAGACGATAACTTCCAGCAGACAGGAAAACGAAGCAGCGAGGCATTTATACAGTTTAGAGAGAACAGAAGCCATTTCGGGAGAATAATACTTAATGACTATTACAGGGATACCTTCAGGTCCACATGCTTTGTGGGGATCAAGGTTAGAGATGATACCAGAAAACCACGAATGGGGTTATATAGATATCTCACAAAAGAGATTCATTTCTAAGTGAGAAGTTAGGCAGGGATATCCCAGATGAATCAAGAGTAGAGTTCGAGGAGAATCTACGGGCAAAGCGTTCATCTTTATCAGCAGATGCTAACATCTCAAATTGATTGAAAAGAGGGGAATAGTTACCTTACACTTATTTAATACTCTATTACAGAGCCACCAGGAATCATTCTCTCGGCAAACAGGAACTTAGCTCCTTCGAAGACTCGCTTACATTTATTACGAACAATAACGAATAGGCACCTGTTGTGACAAGAGCTCTCACATTGGGTAGCCGGAAATAGTGGTTCTTATGTGCTGTAGCGGCCGAGCATGCTGGTGTGAAATATAGAGAGCATTGAGGTTTCACCTGGTATTTCTAAGAACGGATGAAAGCATCCATGCCGACTTTAACCCAAGAAAAACTTCAGTGGCGCAGTTTTCAATTGGGTGATTGAAGATGTCAATCCATGCGGCGCCACAAAGAAAAGGACGGAGTAAACCCCAATCAGCTGGTAACGGAAAGAGGCTTATGCATAGGAGGTTCCTGTTTAATAGACGAGTGGAACAAAATATCAATAGTTAGCACAGAGTGGCCCGAGGTACCAAAAGGGAAGTATTGTGGTGCTCAACAAGAGCGAGGAGAGGAGGTAAGAAATAAATCAAGTAGAGAAGCATATCTATATATGTGTGTGTGTAAATGATATAAATAGGCGCAATTATTTTGCTTCGAACTGATATTGACTCAGTTTACAATAAAATCCTCATGAAATAATCGCGTATTTACATTACAATGTTATCATATTTTTAAAAAAAGGATATAGTTTGGGCCAGTCCGATAAGGAAATAAATAACATTAGAATTAGGAATTCCTCTTTCTACTGTTATTCGCGTGATCGTATAGTTCACTTAGTAAAGAAAACCACAGTGTTTACCTAGGCCATCAGAAATGTGCCTTCTTGCGATAAGAAAAAATCTGTTGCAAGGACAGCAGAGTTGTCATATGTATGAACCAGTCCCCAAACGGTAGTACGGTACCTTCATCGCGTGGGTTAATACCGGAAAGTATCCAAGAGAAAGTCACTTTTTAAACCAACCACCTGTCAACAGGGAAACCAATGAATGGTTGATATGATATATTGTATTGTGTGAAAAGACTGTTTGCTTTACTCAATAATCGATTATTTCTCTCTCTCTCTCTCTCTCTCTTTCTAGAATGTCATGTCACTTCAGGGCGTGGACAATTCTCTCTCTCTCTCTCTTTCTAGAATGTCATGTCACTTCAGGGCGTGGACAATTCTCTCTCTCTCTCTCTTTCTAGAATGTCATGTCACTTCAGGGCGTGGACAAACAACGCTCTCTTTCTGTCATTCTTTTTCTTTATTATGTGCGAATTGCCATTGATTCTTTGGAAAGATAACGAAGTGATTTTCCAATGTATTTTCAACGGTTTGGAATTAAGACTTTTCCTTCTCTTGGACTGGTTGCTATCTAATGCTAGAGTCAATGCTGCTGCTTAACTCGCGGCTGAGAGAAGAAGAGTGGAATTTATGGCTTACCTAAGTGTATTCGTGCGAAAGTGAAAGCAAAAGACTAGACCGGAATGTGAACTCGGTTCACCGATTCTAATTTCTGCATCAATAACCGTTGTACTACCTGAACATTATACCCAGGAGATTAATAGATTGAAAACTAGTTTTTGTTTAACTAAAATATTTCTATTTTCTTCTGATATCTCTAAAGGTTATGGACCTAACTAAATTTAGATATGCGGGGGGTAATCGAAAGTTCTCAAACGGACCAGTCTCTTAAAATCTTAGCAAATAACCAAGCATCAAAAGGTTTTTGGAAGTACTTTCTTAATCGAACCAAGAACATTTTAATACAGCGTCGTACATTAAATGCCAAAGGTTTGTGTTTAAATAATATCTGTTCTGGTGCTTCTGTTTTATATTTAGAGATTCTTGACAAAATCCAAAGAATAATTTGAAACGTTATCGGTTCTGACCTGGCATCTTGGCTTCAGTCACTTTCTTCTGTTTCCTTGAATACTTTACTTTTATCGTTCTCTTTGTTTCTTTCACTCTACGTCGCTTCTTGCATTCTAGTGTCTTTTATTTGCTTGGTACAAAATATTAAAAAAAAGAACATTAAATCACAGTCTGTTGTGTTTTGTTTTTTTGTCTAGACTCTTATTTGCTTCCATTCTCAGGCCTTTTCATCTTTCTCATTTAGGAACCATAATGGAAACGACGAGTAAGAAAACAATAGATGTGACGGATTTCAGTAATTCATTACCATTAAAATACCAAACCATTCAGGTCGGGTTACAAGTGACAGCAACTGAATTAAATAATCGGATGAAATACAAAAGTTTCTTCCGTGTTTTCCCGGATGACAGACAGCAAATGAAGGTAAGGGCGTTAAACAATGGCCAGTAGGCTCAATTTGAATTACTTTCTTCGGATGAAATGTATATGAAAATATGCCGGATATATTGAGCAAGGAGTTAACTTAAGTTTTTACTTCTGTATGCTATTTCCAGTATTATACATGAAAGGATAGGAGACTATGTACTCTACTCTCTCTTTATTGTGGACGAATAGATGTGTGAGTGCCTTGAACCCTGGAAAGATTGATAATGAATATAAAAAAATAAAAAAAAACATTTTATGCTTATTATTGTCTGGGTTGTCATTATGGGAATGTACTGCATTTTTCCAAGTTCTTCAACTTTTTTAAGGATACTGATGGAAATTTATTAATAGTTCTTTTAACGTCTCTGTTTAATGTATGGTTGTTAGTGCTGTGTCTATAGATGTTATTCTTCCATTTGATATTGATGACAAATCCATTTTTGTAATATTTACTGTCTATTTTCAAAGTTATTTACGTGTGATTTCTCACCACGATATTCAGCACTTGTTTGATTTTGTTTTTTGGAGACAACATACATCAATGTTATAACTATCAACGTTCAGTCATTTCTTTTTCTTTTCCCAAATCATTTAAGATTAAATGTTCTCATAGTAAAACCTTTACATGCGATTTGGTAGCTTTTACAAAGTCTTAAATAAGATATTGCCAACTTTCAATGGTTGACAATCGGAGCATTCATTACAATTTCCCAATTCCAAAATAACCTGCCTCGGATTGTGTTAATAGTAATAAAAATATATTAACTTTATTGAAGTGCTTACTCTACTATCTTTGCCATCTTTCAAGCAATAATAATTCTTCATAATGTTTTAAAACTTTGCTTGCAAAGAACTTTTGGCATTCCTCAAAGAAACTGAAATAATCATATTTTAATTATACACATTACTTAGTAACTTAATATAAACAAGAGCTTCCAAAATGTTCTTGTTGACTGTAATCGTTATAAATTTACTACTTCAATATATAAAAAACCTGCAAGCATCGATTCTGATTTTCTTAATGTAATCGCAGATATAAAATAGCTGTTCTAAAGAACAGGATTAACCGTGCAAAACTAATTTCTTCTTTGTACACGATGTTTTATAAAGAACTGAGCCGTATAATGTAAACACTTATAAACAATCTTTTCCCAAAGAAAAACTCTTAATAAATGTTTATTTTATCGTCGATAACCAAATAAAATTAGCTTTAAATAGTTAGAAAATGTAACGCAAACAATAATAAAATCATAAATTTATTCTATTGTAACCAAATACATCCTAATAAGCAAGATGAAAAATTTAATTCGTAGGTATATATAAATGATTATAATAAATACCCAAGATTTATCTTTCATTACAAAATATTTAAAACCTCTAAAATTAATATAGGGCCTTAAAATCACCCTTATCTGAAAACAAAATTGCTTATGCTTTTATATTAGTTACATAATCACCACACATTCTTGTAGGTTAAGTTGCCCCTTATCAAAATTTCAAAATTGGTACGCATATTGATTAGCACATAAGAAAAAATTAACTATCAACGCAAGTTACTAGTAGTAAATACTCACCGAAATTAAACATACTTGAAGCTATTCTCATACAAGAGACACAACCTATATTAAACACTATATATTTCACCTCTAGAGAAGGTATTTCTAAATGTTTAAAAAATTTAAAACATTTAATAATCTCTTCGTTCTTAGGCACTATCAAACTTTTTGATACCTAATGGATTAATTTAAAAAAATAAAATACTTATGTTACATATAATTACAAATCATTCTATACATGATGCCATTTGTATTTGACAAATTTAAATTATAATAATAGCGTTTCTAAAAAATGGCGGGATGAAACTATTATAAAGTGTTTGTCATTGTAACTGATAACTTTTCTGTAGAAAAACAGGGATGATGGAACATATTCGAACAAAAACATCATAGACATTGCGCAGTTTCTTCATAAATCTGGCCCGGATATCCGACAGCTTATATGCAGACTTAAAAAAATGTGATTATAATTACACGGTCGATTTCAATAAAACTTGCTTAAATGAATGTTTTGTTTGCCGTTTACATTGCATATAGACATATGGAAGTTAATAATGTTCATTGTCACAATATAATGTTGTACGTCATACGGCATTCAGTTGTTTCGAAATTACACAGACATAAGTTATGTCTTCAGTAATTTATTGTAAGTTTGATATAATCCAGCTTGTTATTCGGTGTATTTTGTTAATGCAGAGATTGTTTTCATATTTACTAAGTTTATCCCAGTACTTCACAAAATCACATAGTGCCGGTCGCTCAGTGAAGTTTGAATTTTATACAATTCTACGAGACTAGCTTGCGAACATTTACTTCAGGGTAAGGTGCTCTTCCACTAACATCATTATTAAAACGATTTAAAATGTACTTGGAGTAGTATTCACTACAATTCACCTAATCCCTTTTCTATACATTTTATACCTTTAGTGTTCAACTAATTTGACACTGCACTTCAACTACCTATTATAACCTACCGTTATAGGTAGTTAAAGTGCAGTGTCAAATTTATTTATTTATGGAGCTATATGTGTTACAAATGTATGTTATATATGATATGTAACATAGATATATTACAGATGTTACAGCTTATGTGTAATAGGCAGGAAAGATGAAGTTGCTGAAACATTATTATGTTTTTTTGTTATATTAAATCCTAATATTTCTCTTTGTGTATTTCAGATGTTCTGTGATGTCTTAGTCGAATTGAAATGGAATTATATTGCGCTTTTATATGAAGACGATATTTATGGCCAACAAGCAGCTGAAATTTTTATTAAATTCGCAAAAGAAGTAAATATTCACATTGGGACTAAGCTTCAGATTAATATAAACAATCTAGATATCCTAAAGTATGATTTGAAGAAAATATCCGGGTCAGTGGTTATAGCGCAACATGCTACAGTGAAGAAATTTTTCGAAATTGATCGTTTCGGGAGAAAAATGTCATTTCTAATGTCCGAGGCCATTAGTATATACGACGGTTTATTTGGAATCTATATAAATGGAGCAGTACTTGTTGTGCAAATAGCTTCTTTTGAAAGCCCGAAATTCGAACATTACTGGAGCGAACTTTTTAAGAAGGCACCTCGAAACACAACGGCAAATTCATATTTTGCTAAGATGATCGAAGAAGTTTCCCAATGTAAATTTATCCATGCTAACCATTCCTGTGATATGGACAAGGCGCGGAAATTTGTTGATTCGAAGACGTCACTGTCTGTTACATCGGAGTTCATGGCTGTAGGCATATACACGTTAACGAGCGTTTTCGGAAAGATACTGGAAAATCCCTGCCCATTAATTGATTGTCCAGGGATTTTTGAACGAGGCGTCAAGGCTTTTCATCAGCCGATTAACATTTCGTTTCTAAAAGACAAATTGGAATATAAAAGATTGAACTTTATAGCTCCATTCGATGCGAATGGAACATTTGAATATCCTCCGAACTGGGTTTTGTATAAACTTCTTTACAGAAAAAAATACAAACATTCCAGTAAATTTAAATTCGTTAGCGTAAGTATCACGTCACCGATTCTGTTGAACTAATCCCAACGTTAGAAACGATAAGAAGTGGGTTTTTAAGAGTTCAGGATGCCCAGTTTAAATAAGTTAAAATACCGAAGAATTGTTTAGGTTAGTTTATTGGGTTTAAATCACGCTGGGCATTCAATGTCGAATATTCTTTATATATCCATTTATATTATCTTTTCTTTTATTCCAGAAATATGAATAGATGGTTTTTATGATAGACTATAATTACCCCCAGAAATATTTTCATGTTATTAAAAATGTTTATATGTATATATCTCATAGCAATAATAATTTTCATTAAAAAAGTTATATCTTTGAAATACTGATTCACTTATGAAGGCTAGCAGATCATCTACCTCCCTATTTTCAAATAGTTCTTATGCTATTCACACTATGAACATACTCTCCAGTAAGAGCGAGATCATCACACACAGGAAGTGAATCACCATATATACTACTGTGTATAAAATAGGGTTTGCTTTTTGTATAGCCGATACGTAGTTGGGACAAAGTAACTTGTTTTTTATAGAAAACAGACGAACTTTTAAGCTTGTAATGGAAATTTATTCAGAGCATTTCGACCACTGCACATGTGAGATTCGGTCATCACTTTTGATGATAGAGTAATTCGAAGAGGAGACAACTATAGTTACTTTCACCACAATAGGTTTTTGCGACTCCTCGTTTCCATTTTCCTAGTGGTGTTAGTGGGGTTATCTTTGAAGATCTTGTATATGTTTTGACTTCAACGCCGTCATTTTATTCTGGAAGAGCTTGCCAATTCTGGTTCTCAAGTCGGTATATGGGACCATAAACTCATCACTGACCAGAGCTGTTGTTTTCATTAATTCCAGTGTGGCTAACATAACAACCTTTTTTGACTTACACATGGAGTTCAGTCTACTAAATCTGTAGTCGGTACTGGGTTACGTTTGAGATATTTTGTTGAAGTGGCATAAATTATTGCGAGAAATTATGTTTCCTAAAGTATTTTTTGGTCTGTGTTCTTACATCCCCATGTAATAATTGTGACTGTTAAAGTAACCCAATAGGGTGAAGTGTTTAGGAAGTTGTTCCATTAATCCGTTGAGCTTATTTTTATTTATAGGATTGTGTAGTTTAATAAATATAGAACAAATATCAACTGCTCTATGTAGGGTTGTTTTAACAGCAACTGCTTGTAGTTTCAAGATTAATTTTGCTTTGAGGTATAGCATCTCTAATAAGAATTTATACACCTTCAGAATCCCTATGTTTAATATAATGTATGGAATTGTATTGTTCGACGGATTTTTATATTAGTGTTATTGTCTTATTTAAGAAAGGTCTCTTAAAAACAAATTGATGGTTATAAATCAGTTTTAAAAAGAACTAGTTCGTTAATATTGGGTCTTAGTCTGGAACTGTCTCACTCCTAACTGCACGTAGGTCTTGTGACATCGGTTCAGAAGCACCTTGACATATCAAAAGCTTTTGTTAGTATAAGTAACGAGATGTTATCCATCGCCGTCTTGTAAGGCCTCTTGCGTAGCTTACAGTACCTTTTATTCTCCAACGGTCATCGTGACAATTCTACGATTGTATGGACCATAATATAGTATGAGGATTATTTCCAAAGACGCTCCTATTTGTGAACCTAGTCTCTGACTAACAAGAAAGTTGGCGTCACTGAAGATATATGAGGATTTCCTAAAAAAAGGCCCTTACCTGTGGATTGATGGTAGCGGTAAAGATAATTTTAGCTGTTTCCTTACAAGGAAATATTTGGCATTCATTGACCGAGCAGCCAGTATTGATGTCGGTTGAATTTGTAAAATCTTTCTCTTAAAACAATTTCTCTCAAGTTCAGTAGTTGTTATAGCTCTTTCGAGTATTGATGGGGTTTCTTTCTTAATCTTTTATTTGAAGTAGTGTGGAACATCAACATCTTATGTCACTATATTCTCTTCGATTTACATGCGCTATCCATTTTAGTTGTTGCTGTAGTTGGTAGTCCTCAATTGATATAATTTCTGTTATTTGGTACAGTTCATTGTGATTCTGTAGCGCCAGTTTACAATGTTCAAAGAAGTATGGTCTCTGTTCAGACACACAGGCTATACTCGCTCAAAGTCATTTTAATTTTGATCTTAGAAAGTGGTTGTATACAGCTGGCAGTTTAGATATTTCTGAACGGGTTTGGCACCATGCAGGTCATTCATATGAAAGTCTCGATTTGACGAGGGTATTTAAGAACATGACTCGAGTTTTCAGGTTAATACATTGGCGTTGTAGCAATTTTAAATTTCAAAATTCAAAATTGCATGAAATTAAAAAATGTTTCTAAAATGTTTTCGGTTTTTGCATATAAAACTGAAGGAAGGAATATATAGTCTGTGTAGCCAAATCGAACTCATTTGCTCAATTCCCAGTGGGTCTTAATTCTCCCCAGTCATGTCTACTTTTGTACACCTTCTTATCCAATTTATTGCATCAGCTTAGAATATGATTGAAAGTCTCATTTATATATTCGTACAGTACGTTGCAATAAGGACTGGGATAAACAATCCGCCAGTGAAATGAACATGTCCAATTATTGATATAGCATTGGTTACTGCGCTTCTTCTGGTCTAGAGAACATCCACATTGCACTGGAAGACATGTCATGTAGCCTGGTTTAACGAGTCACAATTTCATTCCTCTCTGACAGAGTCTGTATTTGAATGAGTTCGCATGAAGATTCAACCTGTCAGTAGGATATTCTGAATGCTGGTAGTAGTTCTGTATGGGATATGTTCTCTTGAAGTTTACAAGGACGTTAATGAAACTGGAGTTTGTCTTGATAGGTGTTACATACACAGATCTTATTGCAGATTGTTTTCACGCCCATTTCATACTCCCCAGGTTTGTCAGTGCTGATGGTTTGTTCCTGCAAGGTAATGCACCCCACTCTATCGAACACTGACGATATGGAACTAATTCTAATAACATCCGACTAACTCGAGGTATTGAATTGCACGCCCACCATATTTGTCAGATTTAAATCCCATTGAGCATGCATGGATCGTTTGGCAAAAAAATCAGTAAAATCCCTGCTCAACAAATACAGGTCAGTTATGTACAGCCCTGGAACGTACTTGGATAAATATATTCACGTAACGACACCAGCACCTCGTAGATTCTATACCATGTTGCGTAATCGGCGCTATTTAAGCAAAAGGAGAAGCTAAACGTTAATAGGTAGCTGACTCCATTCTTTTGTCATTCAGATTAAATATGATGATAATGATGTATATATATATATATATATATATATATATATATATATATATATATATATATATATATATATGGATAGTTGAATGACAATATGGGAAAATATACTATGTTATGCGTTTCGTTCTTCTAAAGAACTTATTTAGACTTCAGACAAATAATAGTTTTATCGATGGAGCCTTTTATATATATATATATATATATATATATATATATATATATATATATATATATATATATATATATATATATGTATATGTGTGTGTGTGTGTGTAAAAATTTTACGTCGAAGGTGCAGGGATGCTTAGCTTTAAATTTAAATTTTTTTAAATGTTCGGCGTCCAATGTATCCAGATGATAACATATCCGACTTCGTTCAGTTTTCTATTGGTTTTTATTTTTATTTTTTTCGGTATTGCTTTTAAATATCCCACATTTTTATAACAGTACTTTTGTTGGGAAAAGAAACATGTTATTAATCTGAAGAAGTACTTTCCAAGGAGGAAACGTATTTTTTCCATTTTCTCATTTAATTACCCACTATTCATCTGACAGTTTTGTATATCCTATATAATCGCGAGTAGTATCAATATTTGGCTATGCACTGAAATGTAAGAGTCCGGTTGATTTCGCTTTGTCTTATTCATCCTAGTGTATATTTGAATAGATATAGATGGATTTGTTCCTGAGAATCACGTTGTAGACCATATGAAAGATACAATCTGTCAATGTCTAGTAGTATAACGAGATAATTCTCTGGGGTCCCGTGTTAAGGATAATCACGTTTTAACTCCTCAACTATAATTAATTTAGTTTTTTGATGAAGATTTTACTGGAAGTAACAATATAGATTTAGTTTAATTGGGATTGAATATATTTAATAAATAATTATGATGTGACTATGGGGTCGAGCAAGATTCGCTGAACAAGTAATCGGCTCCACGCTGTAATTTGTTTTGTTTTATTTTTTGTTTTCTCTAAGAAGATGACTTGTCGGCATTGGCCAAAATTGCCAAGGTTAGGGTATGCTCAGAAAGGGCTGAAGTTGGGGAAAGATTCACTCGGACGCCACAAAGGTATTAATAGTCACTCTTTGATAATAGAAGCTATCTTTATTTGTTCGACATCATTTCCGAGGAGTTCGATGTGGCTACTAACGGACGCTCCGTACAGACTGCTGATGCCCTCTTTTCTTTTTGAGAAATCTTCTTTTATAAAATAGTACATCTGATATTTTTCGATTTGTTACGTACTGATTAAAAAAATAGACAATAGGGTTCACTTCAGTTATTAATAGTGTCATTTAACAAATTCTTGTTCAATTAAGTAGGTAACATAAATAATAAGAAATAAATCTGAGCACAGCCAGTGTTTCATAACGTTATGTTAAAAATATTTTTTCTTTTCAGGTTGGAAATTACACACTCAGTGGATTAAACCTTAATACATTTACTCTCCATGGATACGATATGAACAACAAAGAGTTTCCGGTTGAAAGAGTTACATGTCAGAAAAAAAATAATTGCAAGAGACATCAGAAGACTCCAGATTATATTTACAGAGACGGGGACATAATATTCATAGGAATTGTCCCGATTCACGAAGAGCATAAATCAAACGCGTATTCTTGTGGTAGTGTAAGAATGGTTTCTGGAGTTTCTCTCGCAGAGGCTATGCTCTTTGCTGTCCGAAAGCTGAACGAAAGAAATACTTACAAATATATTTTTCCTGGAAAGAAAATAGGAATTTTGATTCTAGATTCTTGCGATAGTGAAATTATCATTCTGAGAAAACTCTTTGCTATGCGAAACAACGACTCAATAATCTGTAGCCAAGATTTAAATTGCACACACATTTTAAATAATGCGATTGTGTATATTGCAGCGCTTTCCTCTCGCGTAAGTCAGGCCGTGTCTAAAATCATGACTTCTCAACATACCGTGCAAATAAGTTATGGCTCTACCAGTGACTCACTTAGCAACAGGAATATTTATCCAAACTTTATGCGTGTTTGCACGTCAGATGAACAACAAGTTGAAGCAATGATTGATTTACTAGTAAAATTTGAGTGGAAATACATATCGATAATATATGCTAATGAGTTATATGGCATTTCCTTCAAAGACACTTTTTTAGATAAGTCCAAACTGTACGACATTTGCGTGATTCGTTTACTTCCCTATGATGACAATTCGGACGTTGAAAAAATGTTAAATTCAGTTAGACAACGACCAGAGGCTAGAGTAGTCATTCTTTATCTGAGATCAAATCAGATAAAGAGATTCTTGAACAAATTTGTTAAGCCTATGACTAAACAAGAATTCATTTTTCTTGGTTCAGAAGCGTGGTCAAACAAAATTCAACTTCCAGAAATAGTGAGAAAAATCGAAGGTTCTTTTACTTTAGGCTTGGAAATCCAGGAAAACGAAGAATTCAATCGATATAAACATAATACAATTGTAAAACAGAACAATAACAATATATGGTTGCAGAATTTTATTGAAAAAAATTGCTATATGGAAATGAGTTTAGATAAAAGGTCTGACAAATCTTGCCCTCAGAATTATACACTTGATGAAGTAGGTCTAAAAAGTGTATGGATACCGATGGTCATTGATGCTATTTATGTAGCGGCTCTAGGACTTAACAAATCCATATCGCAGATGTGTAACAATGGCCTTGTGTGTCCAATTCTGTTTCAAAGAACTAACGAACTGATAGAAAATTTTAAGGACGTTAAGTTGAAAAAGACCGATGGCTTCTTCCAAGTTTTCGATAACAACCAAGATGGCACGTTAAATTATAATATTTATAATACTCGTGTGGATGGCACTTACATCAAGGTAATCACTTTCTTTTTTTTATTTGCCTTGTCCCTTCGAGAGGCGGGCGATCATAGGTCTCCACAGTTCCATGTCTTTTGTTGATCTAACTTTTGACACTTTACCTTACTTCTTTGTCCTTGTTCTGTCAGTTCCTGTGTTTTTATTGCTTTAAATATGTCCTATAAATATTTTCAAAGGATTCTTTCGGATTGTAGATATAAGCTTCCTTGTAGATTTTATTTTCCTTAAAACTTCCTCGATACTCATATGTTCTATCCATGGTATTCTGAGCATTCATTGGTAGAACAAAATCCCTGTTGCTTCATGCCTCTTCTTCATCTGTGAAGAGATGGTCTATCATTCACTGCTATATAAAACAAATAATATGTTACATATTATTTACTTTGTTTCTAACAAATTTTTCTTATTTCTTAATACTTAATTTCTGGAAGCAATCTGTCGCCATTTCTATGCGCCTTCAGTTTTCTGTGTTATATTTTCTGTTACCTGTTATTATACTACTCAGATTTCGCTATTTGCTTCATTTGATATCCCCAATGAATGACTAACATTTGGAAATGTCTATTTTGTTGATGACCATGTATCTTGTTTTCTTACACTTGATAGTTTTTTCTTCTCTATTTCCTTTACTATCTCATTTAATAGTTCTTTCAGCTTTCCTGCTGAGTCTGCCATTAGCATAGTGTCAGCCGCATATCTTCTGTTGATAAGATTATGTCCGCTAATAATAAATCTTACGAAGTCTTCTAGTTTTCGTAGGATCATATTAGTGACAATATCATGTTTTAATATTAATGCTTTAGTCTCTAGGAAGATGTAAATTACATACCTGTTTAATGTTTATTGTTTGAAGATGATGATTATTTTTTGGTGATTTTATGGAGTATGAAATACAGTTGCTACTTATTGGAATAGGCACGAGGAGGAAAAATAAAGAGCGAAATGGTACCTGTAAAATCTGTGATGTTCCTGACGTATTCAGCGAAGCGATATTATAAAACCAAACCTTGTACTTATATTAATAATAATTGTTAATGTATTGCTTATTTTCACTCCATACCCATATAGAAAAGAAACATTTTGACCTAGTTTAAATCCGAATTTTTCTTTAACCGAGTCAGAGATTCGACAACTATGGTGATTGATCATTTAAAAAAAATAACATGGGGCAGATCCCTTTGTTTTCATCTAACCAGATCTGAAATAATCTTTACGGTGAAGTTCAAGGGAGAAAATTATAACGATTATTTCGTTTTATTCTTTGAATTGTTTAATTCAACTGTATTCGTTATTACAGCATTTAATGGTATGAGTTTAATCATTGGAAATCACATTTTGATGACTGTAATATGGTGGGTGTAAAGTAATTCTCTGACTCATAGAGTTCACAAACACAGAGAAATGGTAGATCTTCTTTGCCACAGGAATTCACAAGGCGAAGTCACGTTCTCCTTGGACTACTAGTTATAAGATGTAAATAGAAGAGGTGGATACTTTGGTTTAGGTGAAGGGACAGTAAGAGTCTATAATCGTTTTCTTTTTTCATCTTGATTTAATATGCAGATTCAGGTTAACTGAGTTATATGAGACATCTGATCATAGAAAAAGCACATGGTGAATTGAGAAAAGAACCTCATTTTGGAATTCTAGGATCAAGGTTAGCTGCTTAAGGTATTTCAGTTTGATTTATTTATTTGCTTTTCTTAAATTCAATCCAAACAAAGCAATAAAAGCCTCTCTCTCCTACCACTGATACTTGTTTGTTTAAATTCTTATGGAAGAGATAAATTATTTCTCTATTATTTCTGCCTAGCGAAAATATAAACCAGATCACCTGCCCTTCAACGAAAGGCTCTGTCTTCATAACTTCGAACTTCAGAAAGTGTTCGTTCCTTGTTTACATTTCCCGAAGTGCCCAATTTGTTTTCATCATGGAAAATATAAACCAAACCCCTCTCTCGCTCCCGTCAACAATATTTGTTTGCTTAAATTCTCAAAGAAGAGATAAAATTATTCCTCCATTCCTGAAATTATCTCTGTCTAGCGAAAATATAAACCAGATCACCTGCTTGTCAAAGACAGGACCTGTTTTCATAAATTCGGCCCTCAAAAACGGTTCGTTGTTTTTTTTTTTAAATTTCCTAATTCGTCTTTGTCAGAGAAAATATAAGCCCCATCTGTCTTCCTCCTAATTAAAGATATGTGTTTTCTTAATTCCTTAAGGAAGAGATAAAATTATTTCTAAATCTGTTTTCCGCATGCCAGACTCGGTAGATAAAGAAAAAAAAACTTTAGGAAAGAAGACATCCAGACGGCCTTATCTTCACCAATGAAAATCTCTCTCTCTCTCTCTCTCTCTCTCTCTTTTTCAGCTTATATTCAATTTTAGATTTAACCCTTTCCTGCTCAGAATCAACATCTAACCACTTCATGGTCACATAATCTATTTATTTTTTAATAACTATCACACTAGTTTCAACAGATGTCTACTGTAACAGTAATCGTTTCTTGTATTTTTACTTCTTATAATAGGTAGGTCAGTGGTCAAAGAGTAAGCGCATCACGTTCAATGACCGTTTACAAAAGCCTTCATTCACAACGAAATGTCCGAACAAAAAACACTGTTCAGAATGCATTTATCGGCATTCAGACGTATTCATGTAAGTTATTTCTCTTTTTCGAATATCAGTATGGTAATATTTATTCAGTAAGTGTTCAAGGAAATTTCATTGACCGTCTGCAAAGTTTCGTTTCAAATCGTTCCTTAAGGTCAAATGTTCGATAAATCTGTTAATATTATGGTAATTATATACATATGGTTATATTTTGTTATCGATGAATAATTCCAAAGAACTCCTGCCACAAGTTAAAGACATTGAAATAAAAATCTGAGGTCGCAATAATTATTATTCATCATTTGAGATGAGACTGAATGGCGTGAATCTATTTTGAAAATATTAAGCATTGTATTTCCTTTAGACTATTACTTGTCTCTTTTAAACAGCATCGTTAATTTAATATCAAAATACAGCATATATATACATTTAAAGTCAACGTAACCATCAAATGTATATTAAGTATATTTATTAGGTTCTTTTTAAAAGATGACTAAATATGCTGTCTTTCAAAACAAATGCGATATTATTTTCCGAATAACATACTTTTAAGACTACGTGGGGACATCGTTTAAGAAAAGTCAAAAACAAAAACAATGTTGCTTCGATCAACATAATAAAAAATACGATATATATAAATATATATGTATATATATAGAGATAAATAGATAGATAGATAGATAGATAGATAGATAGAGAGAGAGAGAGAGAGAGAGAGAGAGAGAGAGAGGCAGAAGCAGAAGCATGTGTACTTATGGTTTATAGATGACGCAAAAGCATTTGATAAGGTATGGCGCAAGGATCTATTTGAACTGTTAATAAAATTATATCTCTTTTGAAAAGATGCCAGAACAATCCAAACCTTATACTTGGAGAAAACCGTCTGCATACGGATAGAAAATGAATTGCGTAGCTATACCAAGACAGAAAAGTGTGTGAGACAAGGATGTCTCTTCTCCCCAGATTTATTTCATCCTCTATCGCGACACTATCCTAAGGGTGGGTGTAATCTTAATATAAGATACGCAGATGACACTGACAATCCAAACACTTTCATCATCAGCATTATACACATCCAACTCTTTCCGAATCCTCTGCATTGTCCGCATATTGACACACAAGCATTCTGAAATATTCATATTGGAGCTTCCGAAGCGAATACCAAGCTGTATCGCATGGTGTTTCCAAATTTCTGGCGGAGTGAATTGCATCATGGTGCTCTTTTTTCTCACAGATGCTGCCCAACTGACTCTACTATACTGTGCAGTCGACAAGATCAGAAACAAAAAACGCACATGCGCGAAATTAAAAATAAAATAAAATTACAACAATTTACGCATCACAGTCTGTATATGATTGTTTTTGATTTATTTGTTTTTTTACGGCTTATCAACCCTTTTCAGGCTATTTAAAGCTAGAAAATATTTTTAATTTATACGGATTTTTGGAGAGGATTGTTTACTGATAAAAGTATTACTAATAAACACATAGCTGGAAGAGAAGTGGATTTATACCTTTCCCAAGGGTATTTGAGCGTTAAGTGGATATAACTACGAATGCCGACTTAAACACAAGTAAATTTTATAATCAGAAGGAAATAAGTAATCAATAATAATGAGCAAAAACTTAACTAAAAACACATTCGGATCCACAATTATTCCTACACAATAGCCTCTAGAATAATTTGAAACATAACTGTTACTGCCCAGCCAGTAACCGTTAGGATAATACAATAAACCTTGCGAGCCATAATGCACTATTAACGAGCATATATAAATAGTCAACCCATACACAATACGCAACCTGAAGATTGCGTTCATTTATGAAATAGACTGTTGACATTCGGTGTTGATAACTGTGTCCACTTATATATATTCTTGGATTCATTTCAGAAACAAGGAAAATGAAAAGGAAAAAAACTACATAGCAGTTCTTGTAATATTCATTTTGCTTTTACTTTGGCTGATTACCATTATTTTTGTTATTATCTTCAGCTACGGTAAGTTTTCTTTCAATTTCTTTTCTTTTTTTCTAAATGTTTGATGACTACACGATTGAACGTTGATGGTGTTTGAAACCAGGCAGAAGGATGATTGATATTTTCACCAGCCGAAAACGATGTAATTGATCCAAAGTGTTATAAAATGAAAATAAAGTTCGATTTGAAATGACGATATATATATATATATATATATATATATAGAGAGAGAGAGAGAGAGACATATATATATATATAGATATGTATATATATATATATATATATATGTATATATATATATATATATAGAGAGGAGAGATACAGTGATATATATATATATATATATATATATATATATATATATATATATATATATATATATATATCTATAAATATATAGAGAGATAGATAGATATACATATATATATAGAGAGAGAGAGAGAGAGAGAAAGGGATAGAGAAAGAGATATAGTGATATATATATAGATAGAGATAGAGATAAAAGATATATATATATATATATATATATATATATATATATATATATATATATATATATATATATATATATATATATATAGCGAGAAAAGATATATAGATATATCTTAAAATAATTGTCGGACTTTGTCCATTTCATAATGCGTGACGTCATTTGTTTACATTTGATACGCCATGAGCAGATATGAATGTACGTGAGAGATTCATAGAAGATTGAGGTTCAAATACAGTAAATTCGACCTTGCTAACCGAACGCTCCTCTGTGGCCAAATCGGTTAAAGACATGTCAAGCTAAATGATGGTTCCGTATAGAATACAGGTTTGAATCCTGTCGGAGGACGAATATGTTCTATGAAAATTTCTCTGACATTCAGGCTGGTAAATGTTGTTTAATACTATTTATTATAAACAAAGCATTGACTTAAATATTTATATCTATAAAAAGAATGTATAAACATAAAATGTCTTAAAATATATATATATATATATATATATATATATATATATATATATATATACATAGATATATATATATATATATAGAGAGAGAGAGAAAGTCAGGGAGGGAGAAAGTGAGAAATATATATATATATATATATATATATATATATATATAGAGAGAGAGAGAGAGATTTTTGTTTGGGAGGGAGTTGAAAAAATTAATCCTGCTACAAGTAGAGATAGATATTGATTATTTAAGCATCCCATACTATCCCCCAAACAAATCTACTAATAGAAAACAGCGTTTTTGCTTTCTCTCCCGAGGCCAACGTACTTATAATTATGAGCATATGCCTATGACATAGGTATTTATAGTTGGCATAGGAATGACCTTGAACAGAAAAAAATCAACATTCACTACTAAGTGTTCCAATAAGTAAGACTTAAGGTAATACTTTCCTGAACAGAAATTATGAACTAGAATGATAGCGATGATACCTACACTGAATCCATCATAATTCAGAAATTTGAAATAGTAAATACTAAACATCTCAAATACCTCGACACAAGCTTCAGGTATAGAATTTAGTATAGGAGATAAGAAAACTGACCATAGAATACGCTGCGATAGGGGTAATTATGCCCAACATCACACGTTGCTACAAAACCAAACATTAACATAAAAAAATCGAGTCATATTCTTAAATAGCCTCATGAAATCGAAGCTTTCATATGGATGTCATAGATGGTTCCCATCCAGTTCAGAAATGTCTAAACTGTTAGCTGTATGTAACCGCTTTCTCAGAGCAAATGGCTTCAAACGAATGAAACCTGTATGTCTTAGCGAGGACTATCTTTCTTCGAACCTTGTAAATGTCACTACAGAATCACAAAAAAAAAAGTACCAAATAACTGAAACCATCAATACTTGGGGATTTTCAACAATAGCAACAACTTAAATGGGCAATAATGACATAACTAAGATGTAGATGTGCAATACCACTCCAAATAGAAGGTTAGGAAGAAAGTCCCCCTCCCCATCAACACTGGAAAGAACAATAACAATTACTGGATTTGAGAAACCTATTTTCCAAGAGAAAAAGTTCGTAAATTTGAACTGAAAGTAGCACTAACTGCTCAGTCAATGAATGTCAAATGTTTCCTTTGTAAGGAAACAGCTGATATTACCATTACCATTTTATGACCTAGCGTACTACATTTGTTGGACTAAGACACTAACCTCCCCCGTCTTGTTTTTTGCAATATCTTTCCATGTTCAATACATTGAGATAGTTATCCTCAAACATTAATACTCTATTTTTTAATACTAAACTTTACCTAGAGCCACTCATGGTATAAATTCACTATTAACATTGTTATGCAGAATGAAATGTGATATGAGTGAAAGAGGGAAGTGAAGATTAGGAAGATAGATAACGATTAAACCTTGACTTGAAAATGTTAAGACTGTAGTATTCACAGAATCATCCCCGCGGAAGTCTGTCCCACTAAGTAGCAGTTCTTAGGGAAAAAGTTGTCTGAATGGAACTTTTCCTAACATTTGGAATACGGTGAAAATGAAGGAGATTCGACACTGGAAGTAGCATGTCGTGTCCTCGTAGTAAATGTGGAACGAAAGAATGACACTCGCCTGAACATTTGAAACAGTAGAGTAGCAATAGGCTTGTGACATTGCATTTGTGGGAATTAAGTTGCAGGGTGGAGTAAAAAGCCTCCCCCACAAAACCTCATAAACGATTTTGAACACTCTCACGGCTGGAAAGTAAGGATTGAACATGCCACACTTGATTTGAAGGCAATACACCATTTTTGGTTTATTTTGACTCTTGTCAACATAAAGCATGACAGAATGGGTGTCTTATGATATTTATTATGATCACAAGATCACAAGTGTGAGACATACAGAACGGAACTGATCTCAGGGAGATGATCTAGCATAATGACAGTTTTGATAATGATAAGCCTGTACATTATGTTTTTACTTCGTTGAGTACGGTAATAATAACAAGCAAAATAGAGTAAAAATTTGAAAAAGAAAAAAATCGCTACTTTAATACAGATTATTTGCATATGAAACAAATTCGGTATGATTGAGGCAGATCAGTGAACTGATTTTCCTGTTTCGTTTTAGTGCGGCGGCAAGTGAATAGACCAAGTCTACCTAAACCTCGTGAAGTTCCAAAACGAGAGGGCGCTGACGGCGGAGAAGAAAGTCTACGTTCGAATGATTATGCAGTTATGTACCCTCGTAGTGAAATAACGGTGCCAAAATCAGTAGACACAGAAAATGAACCGAATCAAGATTTAAATTCAGAAGTTACTTCGGTTCTGTGATATGCTACGACAAATGCGTGAACTTCTTAACTGTTTCTGCAAGCCATATCATGGAAAAGATTTATTGTAGGTTCCTCCACGAAATCAGTAAAAAATCAATATACCGTGATGAAAATATGTTCCAAACGCAATGAAAACATAGTTTTATCGTCAAAATATTTGTTATTATTAAGAGTAAGTATCAAAGTATTTTTAATAGTTAATAGAATTTTTTACTCCTTTTTAGAATATTCGAAATTTTGATGAAAAACTTTGTTTTTTTCGCGTCAGCGATTGTACTTTTAGCCCCTTTTTTTGCTGTGGCAGATTCATTAATTTGGAAATTCTTACAAAAATCAAATAATTGTCGGATTTTTCACAAATGAATGAAATTATTTTCGAAATTTTTTAGTAGAAAATCTTGGTAAAAATACATATTTTTTACATATGTCTCACTCATTACCTAATTTCATGCAAGCTTGAGAAATTCAACGTTATAATATTAGTTAAAAGCAGAATTCTTTAAAGAATTTAAATCGTCGATTTTTCTTTCATTTTTTTACAATTTTAAATTAAATAATTTATAATATTTTTTAATATATTTTTAAATTTATTTTCTTAGGGAATATTATTATTAAGTAAAAACTATATTTACTAATCATAGGTTTTATAGCTTATTACAATCTGACGACACCGAATATTTTAAAAGAATTTCGATTTATTTTATATATGTATATACGTGCAGAATTTCTAAGTATGGATGTTCACACCTAACATTATCGTTAAAAGGTCACGTGTTTTAAGTATTGTCCTCGGCCTTACGAAAAAACCCTCATATAAATGTTATCGTTTATTCCACCATACTTAATTATGAACACATTCGGCAGTCATTCGGCTGTCAATACATTGATTAACACGTCATAAAAGCAAGATCTCGTGGTTAAGAAATGCATGTATACAACATTTTATGCTATAAGTAAGCATTATTTGTTTTAAATCAGATTAATTTAACTTTAAATTTACTAATTTTCCTCAAATAATGTTTCAGAAATATATATTTTATTTTTGCAAGATTTTTAAAACCGAGAATTAACTTTTATTTACAAAAGTGTCAACATGGCCGATTTTAGCGATTTTACTGAAAAAAATCGATTTCGATCAATATAATTTCTGTTTGAAATACACCACAGAGTACTTTGCTTACTGGTAATAGTAAATTTCAAATCATTTAGCTTTCAATTAAAGCTAAAATGAAAGCTTCAAGAAAGCCATTTCATTTTTAAAAATTCATTTTAAACTTTTCATATACCGAATTAGTGGAGGTACCTAACTTATTGTATTATAACTGGGAAAAGCGTCATTATGATGTCAAGATATTTTTCAGATAGCTGAATACATTCTTTTTATTGATGATGTAGTTACCACAACGTTTCGGTCGATCTGTTCTAAAGCCGTCTTGCGGTATATAATCCTTATGGTCATTTTACAGAAGTCCTTTTTCACGGATTATAGACCTGAAGAAAGCTGGAGAATGAATTGGTCGAAACTTTGTGGACAGCAAAATCAACTGGGCAAATAATAAGATGATTTCAGTTGTCAGAAAAGTTTGATCTTCACTTGGTGCCCCATACAAAATTCAACATTAAATATCTACTGGAGTGTTTGTGTAACATCAACCAACCAACTTACATTGTAGCTCAGCAAATTCTGGCCAAATGAATTATGAAAAAAAAAAAGAAAAAAAACCTCACATCTATTTTAACACCAACTGTATTAGGACTCTCGTCATAGATAAGTTTCCTGCTTTGTTTTTTTTCTTCACTTAGTACTATCTTTTCTACGGCTGACCTTGCTTAAGGTTAGTCACATTCTTTTTATCATTAAGCTTTTTTCTATCAGTAAAGAAAAATGACAATTCAACATCAAATTTTGTAGTTTTTAATGATAAATCTGTATTTCCGGCAACCAGTATATATTGTATACTAAAAATAAGAAGAAAAAAAATTGAACGGGTCAGGAATTAAGGTAGACGTTGCTGACAGAGAAACGCTATAATTTAAATATTCCTTATCTTTATATAAGAGTGCTCTATTTTAAATTCTTTTGAAAGTGAATTTTAATGCACTTAAATTACATTTTTGTTTTATTTGCCATTTACTGCGTTGTTTTACTCTTAGGGATTTTCAAAATAGATGGTTATTGTTGTATAGCATTTACGAGGCCGATTGTTCTTTTGACATTTTTTCAAAAGGAATGTCAGTAATAATTTTATTAATTTCATTTATTAGATTATTAATTCTATAAATTCTATAATTTGTAGTTTCTCCTCCATGCAGAGATTGCAATCTCTTCCTCTGTTTCTCAATATCTTTTTTTTATATATTATATACTATTCTCGAATAAGCAACAAGAGAGTTTTAAAGAACATGATGACAGAAAGAGAGCTTATACGTAACACCAAGAATAGACAGCTGAATTTCCTTGAACACATAATGAAGAAGGATGGCTTGGAAAACTGAACTCTTCCGTGGCCTATTGAGGGCAAGACAAATAGGGGAAGAAAGCGACCCACTTACCTGACGAGCTTGATGGATGGATGGCGGCACGGGGGTGGGGCGTTGCTTTTGCAAAGGGAGAAAAACCGCTAAGGGACAGGAAAGTTGTGGAGAGCTATGATCCTCTATGTTCTGAAAGAGCGAGGTACATAGAAGATTCTACCAATGGAGTTTTCCGTTTTAATTTTAATTCTGATATATATTTTGACAATATGTTATTCTGATAACTTTCGTATTTGAACGATACCAAATGTCTCTACACGCAAACCGCTAGTAGCCCTTTAGCGGTCAGCCAGTGGTAATATTGCCGAAAGGAACACGCCGGCGGTTCTACAGCGGGCAACCAGCAGTAAGTGCTTGTGACATGCCATCCAGTGGCAGATTGGTAGCTTGCGTGTAGGGGGTATTTTTCTTAAGTTTTTCTCCGATGTAAATCTTTTTTGCTTCCCTCTTTGTTGTTATATTCGCTTTAAACAGTATATTTCCATATCTGTAAAGTATTTAGTTTTATTTCTATTACATTTTTTGTTACTGTTTTCCTACTGTTGCTATTTATTATTTTGTTGCTATGGCTTTTTTTTATTATTTGTTCAATGTTATCCGTACAAATGTAACTAATTTTATAGTAGTTCTTTTGAATAAATAAATGTAAGTAAATTGCTTGTTATTGTTTTAATAGAGATGTACTGTAAATGATGGTACGAAGCCGGTAAGAAACAGATTTTCAGATTTCTTAAATTAAAGCAAACGTTACTGATAGAATAAGTTCATTATACGAAAGTCAGAAAAAGAAAACAGTGGTCAGGAATTAATGTAGATGCTACTGTGATTTGAAAAAAAAAAATTAAACACGCTCAAATTATATATATATATATATATATATATATATATATATATATATATATATATATAGCCATGGAAAAAATTATGGGACAGGTTAAAAAAGTTAGAAATATAATTGAAACTCTTATTTTATCATTTAAAGAAAAAAGAACAAAGCTTTTAAAGTAAAATTAAGCTATATTTGATACTAGGTGTGGGCTCCTTTTACTTTTATAACTGCTTTTATGCACTTTTGCATATTGAAGACCAGCTTAGCACAAGTAAGTTGGCTCGATTTTCTGCCATTCTTCATGAAGTTTGACTTCTGATTCGCATTTTGAAGAATATTTGTGCAACCTCACTCTTGTACCTAAGCATAACCACAGATGTTCAATGGGATTCAGGTCAGGGAATTGAAGAGGCCACTTTAGCTGCACTTCTTTCTTTTCAAACCAATCCTTCGAAACTCATGCTGCTCCAAACTATTACGCTCCTACCTCCAAATTTTACAGTTGGGGGCAATACATTGCGCATCATATACTTCACCAACACTTCGACGAACATAAACAACTCCAGGGGCTACAAAAATCTGATAAAAGTACAAATTTTAGGGATAATTTTCTATTCAATAAAAATACAGTATTAATAGGCGTAATAAAATTAATTATGCTCAATAAATTAATTTCAACTAATAAAGGAACTTACTTCAGATTTGCTTTCATCAAACCAGACAATTTTACCCCAGTCTTCAGCCGTTCAATTTTCATGTTCTTTTGCAAAAGGAAGTTCCTTTTTATTAACCTCAGACATTAATGGTTTTTTCTAGCTATACATCATTTGAGGCCAGCCTCTACTAACCTCCTTCTTATTGTGAGAGTCGATATCACTTTGTTGCCTCTCGAAATTCAGCAGTCACGTCAGAAGAGTTTTTTCCCTATTACCTAGAGATAACCTCTTTAGCAGTCTGTCTTCCCTTGAGTTTGTACACCTTTTCCAGCCTTGGCCATCACGTATTTTGAAATAATTGGTTTCATTATATCTTTTAATGATTGTCTGTACATCATTTCTTGAGCATTTAACTTTTCTTGCAATTTTGACTTGGGATAACCCTTCTTTGAACAATTTCAGCCCTTCTAGTTTCAAGAATGAATGCCAGTGAAACTCAATTCAAGAATACTTAGTATAGTGTTTTTAGCTAATATACGTATGAGTTTCAATCATATGTCTAACTTTTTACACCTGACCCATAATTTTGTCCATGGGTATATATATATATATATATATATATATATATATATATATATATATATATATATATATATATAATTAAATAAAATGTAAAATGTAAGCAACTCCAAAGGAAGTCTGCTACAAAGGTACACCGGAGAAAAAGAGCTCAATGCCATGAAAATAGTAGAACCTTAATATTACTAAATGAATTCCAGGTGAACAATGACCGATCACAATTAAGTTTCATGCGTTTTCACGCACTCATCAGTTTGTCGACAACTGTTATCTATATAGAAAATTCTCTGACTTCCGTTAATCCGTCCGTCACACCCTCTAAAATAGCCATACATTAACCGATCAAAATCAAATTTTGGAGAGAGGTGCAAACAAGTAAGGGGATACAAAGTAAAGTTG